ATAAATTTATTAATAATATGCTGTTGTTTATTTCAAGTTGATTCTACGGATTAAGGATAATTACACGCTTTTTCATTCTGTTCCCAAAACAGGAGCCATAGTATACCTAACTTTAAAAATTTTTTTTAATATTATGTTTGATTGAATCTTAGTTTTCCATTGAAAGTAAATGCAACAATCTTTTAATAGAAATTTCACAGACTCATCTTAGATTTAAAAAAAAATAAAAAAAGTAATTATTCAATTTTAAAACACACGGTTATTTTATTGAAGCAATAATCATATATTGATTACCAAACTTTAAAAAAAATTCACTTACAAAAAAGAAATATAAAAATTACGTTAGAAAAAATTTTCAATCTTTAACAATGGCTACTTATTCAATAAAAACAAATGTGCATTTTTTCAAATGAATTACAATTACACTTGTATCCACAACAGCTTTCATATCTTTGTAATCACAAGTATCACTTTTGTTTTGAGCACCGCATTTTTCTTGAACTATAAAGTTATATTTAGTCAGATCACTGGTAAGTTTTTTTAAAATTATTCATACTTTGATCAACATGATTTCATACGTGCAAGTTTGCTAAAAGTATGTTGTACTTGAGTTTTCACAGTAGTAAAATTGACACATCAAACGATTTCACAAACTTACATACAGATGAAATAAATTTTCATACCTTGTGTTGGAATTACTTTTCGTCAAAGATATTGCGAACAACAGCTTGGTTATTATAATATTGTACTTAATCATTTATTTGTACAATTTTATTTACGTGGCATTCCGAACAATTAACACTGAAATACATATAATCAATCCACTTGCCACACGAAAATTGTCAATAAAATCTATTAAACAATACATGTCGAAATTAAAAAATTACGTGGCTATTACCATCACATTTGTTTTAACAAATATTTATTAAAAAAAAAAAAAAAAAAAAAAAAAGAACTTGCAGACATCGTTTGAAAATCCTTTCGAAAATCTCATAAAAAAAAACGCATCCTTGAAAATTTCTTAAAAATCCTGTATGCTCCCAAGATCGAGAAACAATGCCACGGCAAAACTAAATCAACGCAAACGGCGTTACTCAATTGTGCGGCAAAGAACGCGGTACACACCTATACGCGGCCCAGTGCTAAAACCGAGCGACGCGCATTATCTGATCAGGGCGAAGATGCTGCAAGCCAGCTAAGTGGGCGGCGATTAAGCACTGCAACCATGTATATATGTATATGTACCTGCATAGAAAAAAAAAAAAAAAAAAAAAGGAGAACGAAGCCGAAGAGAAAGAAGGAAGAAGAAGAGTCGAGCCGTTAAGTGGCCGAAGCCACGCGATGCGTGTACATGACGCAGGAGAGGAAACGGTTTGGCTTCACTTTCGTCGCGCTTTTATTTCGGTCGACGCGCTTGTTTTTATTTTCATTTTCTCCGTCTCCCTTCTTTTATCTTCCGGGAGTATATATTTGTATGCGTAAAATGTTATACACGTATATATATTTAGGCACGCGTTTGACACCTACTCTTATTTTTTGATTTGGTGCCTGTCGGGGGGCCCTTTTGGTGATGGTTTTTTTTTTTTCTTCTCTCGATGAACACGAGAGCTCGATGATATTTGTTTTTTTTGTCTGGTACTGTGTGATTCGTTGCAGCTTCTGTGTTCGTACACGTAGAGTTTGTGTGCAGCAAATGGGTTCCGGATAAATCGCGTCTCTCGTAATAAGCGATGTTGTTTGATGATTCGTGGCACTTGTGATTTTTTATCTTTTTTCTTGAAAATATAAATGCTCACAGTTAAATCCATCGATATGCACTTCT